ATAAATGACTCAATCATGACTGCTTTACACATCTACGTGAGATTTTCTACACAACATTCATACATTGTTTATTTCAGCATATAATAAAATTACAAAAAAAGCCACTACAATATTTTGTTTCTTATACTTGTTATTGACCAACATTTTGATTCATACGATCCCCCATCGAAGCATTTAACTTACGAAAAATATTTTGTTGATCTATAGTTACGTTTTTTCTTCTTTTGCTGACTTTTTTCTTGCTTTGGGTTAAAAGTAAGCCATAGGATAATGCTGGCAGTTGTATTTTCTCGGTTTTGATTGAAAAATTTGTATGTTTGAGTTTTTTTTTCATATTTGGAGCTTGTAATGAAAATATAATAAAAATTTATGAAATAAAACTTATGAAATAATATTTATGAAATAAAACTTATGGAATAAAATTTATGAAATAAAATTTATGAAATGAATTATAAAATATATTATGAAATTTTACTAGGCCCGCGGCAAATAAATACCAAAATATTTTTGTTGCTTCGTCCGCGGTGCATATGTTCATGAAAATTTGCGACATGGTTTTTTTTTACTTAGCCGATGGTAATTACAGCTGCGTATAAATTAAATTACTAGGTCAGCGATAAAGGCCGCGGCTTCTTTGGTGAGACATTCTACATATAGTTTAAGTCCGAAAAGAAAAGATTGAATTTGTTTTTTCAGCATTTACAAGTTTGGAGATATATATTGTTTCATAAAGATTTGTAAGTTATGTTTATTAGATAAATTTTCGTTCAACCGACCAAAGTAATGTCGATGTTTTTGAGAATTTTCATGAGTTCTGCCATTGATATATCATCGATATATGGTTGATATCGTAAAATGTTAAGTGTGGTCTGGACAACATATTGTGATCAGTATTCAATGCTGCCCTAACATCCAAAAGGGCAAGCGGACTTATGCTGCCTTTATCAACTGAACCTTAGATGTGTGACAATACTTTCATCAAAGCGGTTTTTATCGAACTATTTTATTAGATTTTTTTACTTATAATTTAGCATGTTCTAGCAGATTCTGCATCTACCAAAGTCTGTTTTTTTAAGTTAAGTACCCTTTTTTACTTTTTAAGATTTTAACTTAGGTAAGTTAAGTAAAATCATTTGTCCAAAAATTATTGGACAAATGATTTTATTTTAATGACATAATGTATTTCAATCAAAATAACAAAATACTCGATTTAGTTTTTAAAAATTTAAAATTTTAATGAACAATCAAATTTGCTTAAATTTTACTTTAATTTAAATCCATTAAGACTTTTTTTAAATGTTATTTTATTTTAAGATTTTTGGTAACATCAACATCTTCTATAAATTTCATCATTTTATTTTAATGCTTACATTTATTTGTTAGCATTTTAAAACTTAATTTGATTAGGCTTACGAATATATATCCCTTAGCTTAGATTAGATTGATGGCCCTGAAATATTTGGCATACTACAGTTTGAATTGAGAATTTTTATTACAATTTTTAAATGAATATTTTGACAAATTATTAATTGTTCTTAGCTAATTATATCATAACTTCAAAAATACAGAATAAAACAAAATAATAAATGAAAATTAGAATTGAAGACTAAAAAAGTTTACAATACATCACATAAAATCTTTTTTCATTTCGCATAAAAAACATGCTACCGTCCATGGTTATTTATCTAAATTTTCTATTGAAAATGATAAATTTTAGGTTGTCCGTTCTGTCCAGTCGAAGGACCGAGATGTGATGAAATAATAAGATACTCATCTGACGTTAATGCGTGTTCTTGCGAAATTTGTCTGACAGGGTGTTCAGCTAGGGTAAGACATGCATGTACATAATATTTTATAAATTTAAAACACACAGAGATAAAAAATACGCAAACACAATATATTTGGGAAAAAATACAGGCAAACATATGCATAAATAGATATTCTAATCCCAAAATCAATAACTAATACATACATATATATATATATATATATATATATATATATATATATATATATATATTCTGGTAAAAGATAATAATTAATGCAGTAATTTATGAAATCTTCAGAATTTCTAGCGTTGGAGAGTTTTTTATTACATATCTCAAAATTTGGAAGTAAATTCTTGTCATTATTAATTTTATTAACGTTAGAATAATATACAGTTTTCCAATTCATTCTTGAGTGTATAAGATCTATTTCGGTTTTTCAATTATCTTCAGCACTTGTTGCAGTTTATATAGAAAATTTGTATAGCCCAGTACTTGTTGCAGTTTATATATGAAATTTGTATAACCCTCCTGTGATTTGCATTTATCGTTATTATTGACTTTGTTAATTTTTCTATCTTCTTTATTGTTCTTATTGACTTTTGTTAATTTTACTATCTTTTTTATTAATTGATATGATTTCTTTGTTCGGACTAATTACTTTGGTACTATGTTTTATGGCTTCGGTGTTGTCTTTTAATGCTTTGATAACACTTTGGTCGATGTTGCTTTCTTCAGTTTCTTCATCGGTACCATTATTTTTCATGATTTACCAATTATTTTTTATTAAACTACCAATATACAACTCCAACCAAAGAAAGTCATCCCTTGTGATGAAAAACAACCGCACTAGTAAACCAGAATCTATAATGGGTCATAGCCATCTAATATATTTGTAGGCACCCTAATTCTGAATATATTGGTATGACGACGACTTAGTTAACGAGAAGACTCAAGATGCATGTACAAACTAGCGCAATAAAGAATCACATGAAAGAGAAACACAAAACTAAAATTACTACACAAATCTTGGACCACAATGTTGAAATCTTACAATACAATAACAACCATTATAATTTACGACTAGCCGAGAATCAATACTCATAGTACAAAGACATCCGATAATAAATATTCAACAACGGGAATTGGAATTCTTCCAACCAATACATTTAGAAACAGAGGAATCATTGATAATGAAAACACGTAAAATTGTTAAATCGAACAAAGTCGAAAATTGTAAAACTAAGTATTCACTTTAAACAAACAAGGAATCAACAAGGTAGAGAAGAAGCACAGTTAAAAGTTTCTCTTTCTCTTTTGCGTTTGCTTCAGAGATTTCAACGACAAACATACACAGCGTATATGAATACGCGTGCAAACCACGCATCATACACATTGCATATGATAGGCGGGGATCTCTTTGTATTCGAACCCAGTCATTACAATAGTAAAACTAGGCGCCTTTAACCATTGAGCCATCACGCCGCCCAGTATATATATATTTGAGAATATGGGCACAAACACAACATATCAGTTTGAACACCGAAGATGGTTTAAATGGGGATACCGCAAAAAGCTTTTCTGTTCTATCATGCATAAAATAAACAAAAATTTTGGTTTTAAACTAAAGAAACTTGAAAATGATTTACGATCAACCGTTTGAAAAATCGAAAAGTTAAATTGGAAGTCACCGAACATGCCGTGATTTTCATCAATAATTGCATTTCTGGCAGTCTTAATCCAATATATTATTATTATTAGATGATTTATATAGCGCCCATTAAAAGGTTCTCACAGGCGCTTTCCAAGTATTTCAAACCTATTGCTGAAAAATGAATGTCTTCAACTGCTTCTTGAAATGAGAAAACGACAAATTGCGATCACGCAAAATTAGCGGAAGATCATTCCACACCTTTACTCCACAAACCACAAAGTAATTTCGTGATCCCAATTTAAATGCTGTCATCGGCTAAACTAATAAATCACAATCATCTGATGTTAGACCAATCCTCTGGCCAATAGTTGATTTGTACAAAAACCTATTAAACAAATATTGTGCTGTCAACCCATTCAAGCTTTTATACATCAAAACACATATTTTAAAACATATTCTTTTATGAACAGGCAGCCATTGCAAATCCCGAAGTACCGGGCTCATGTGACCAAACCATTTCCCACCAGCAATGATTCTAGCAGCCCTTTTCTGAACCGTTTTGAGCATAGCAATTCCACGCCTAGCTATTCCATTGAGTAAACCATTACAATAGTCCAAACTTAAATGTATAAATGAATGGACGACCGTAGACAATGTTGCTTTGATCAAAAACGCCTTTGCACGATTCAACATACGCAATTGAAATGCACATAATCTAACCAAGTTTTGAACATGCATTTTAATAGTTAAATTTGCATCAAATGTAAATCCCAACACCAACGCTGTTTTAACAAAACCAACATCAGTATCCCCTATTTTTATAGAAGACGTTTGTTGCCAGGTACCAATTGGTATGACCTGAGTTTTATCCTGATTCATTTTTATTCCATTTTGAGCCATCCACACATCAACTTCGTAACTTGTCAAATTATATATATATATATATATATTATTGGATTAAGACTATCAGAAATGAAATTATTGATGAAAATCAAAGCATGTTCGTCGTTTGTTAGCTTCCAATTTAACTTTTCAATTTTTCTAACGGTTGATCGTAAATCATTTTCAAGTTTCTTTAGTTCAAAACCAAAATTTTTGTTTATTTTATGCATGATAGAGCAGAAAAGCTTTTTTCTGTATTTCTGTTATATATTAGTAAACCATTACCCGCCATAGGCCAGACGTACGTTCAGTAGCGGATCTACCATTGCCCCCCCGCGCGGTCTTTTTCTAAAATTGGCGCCCCTTTATTTATCTGTAAAAAAAAATGCAGAAAAATTTGGAAAAAAGGCGAAAGTCTAAATTAAATTTTTAAAAAAATTTAAATTTTTCAAGTTTTTTTACTTAATTTTTTAAACTAAGCGGTACAAGAACCAAAACTAAATTTTTCACATTTTGAAACTGTTGAAAAAAATTTGAAAATTTAAATTTACAAATTTTTTCCGGGAAATTGTATTCAGAGTGTTCACAAAAAAAAGAAAAAGCAATTGGTGAGACAATTTTAACATAACTTTTTATTTGTTTATGTTATTTCAACGTAGGTAAATTTAATTTTTTGGAAATCAGAATTCTGAATTAAAATGGACAAGCGTGAGGAGATTCTTTCGTGTGAAGTAAAACGTAAATTGAGTGGAGCGGCTAGGCGAAAACTGATTAAAGAAGCCATTATTGAGGAGGTGGCAAAGAAATGTGTTAAAATGACAGATTTTTAAATAAGCTGTTCATTGTGGTGCTCATGCTTTGAATTAAGTGACTGTTGAAGCAATGTCAGCACGTCCTGATGTACAGTTGTTTTTCGGGACATTAAAAAAGTTATATACATTTATAACTTCAAGTTACCACGCCTACATATTCTTCAAGAGAATCAAAAAGTTAAATATGAATCAGCAATAAATACTTTGAAACGACTTTCTGACACAAGATGGGCAAGTAGAAATCATGCTGTTGATGCAATTGTGGAATCACTTTTTGCTATTTTGGAAACTCTAGAAGATATTAATTATGGAGAAAAAGGTTATACAGGAAGTGTCCGAGCAGAAGCAGTTGGACTTTTTAGTTTGTTGACTAGCTATTCTTTTGTTTTTCTGATGTTTTTTCTACAAAAAGTAATGAATAACATTAACTTTTTGTCTAATTATTTGCAAAGTAATAACATTGATGTAGCATTTGCAAAGAATTTGATTGATATTACTAAAAACAAATTTGTTGAATTGAGGACTGATGCTGCATTCAACAGTTTGAACTCTTTTGTAAGTTCATACATATAGAAAGAGTTTTCAGATTCTGATATACAGATAGAAAAAGATTTTAAAGAACGACAGGTATCTAAAAAAAACAAATGCCTGGTGAACTCAGCAAAGATGAGAAGATAGATGATCCAGCCAAACGGTTCAAAAAGGAAATATACTTTGCAACTTTAGACACACTTTTAATGCAATTGGAAGAACGTTTTCATGATTTTTGTGAAATAGTTGTAAATTTCCATTGTCTTGATCCATCCCAATTCTTGGCAGATAACATCTTTTTCAACATTGTGTGCAATGTATGATAATGATATTAACCACAATGAAGCTGTTTTAGAATAAGAAACTTTGAAAAATGTTTATGAATCTATACGTTCATCTCTACCTGAAGATCTTAAAACCCATGAAATGTTACCTTTTCTTATTAGTAAACAAATGGCTCCAGCTCTTCTTAATCTTTCCATTTTGTATAAAATATTCTTGACACTGCCAGTAACATCTTCTACAGCCGAAAGAAGTTTAAGTAAATTAAAAATTATTAACAATTATTTAAGATCAACGATGACCAATGATTATCATTAATTGCAATTGAACGACAACTTGATGAAAATATTGATTTTGATTCAACCATAAATCGTTTTGCTACAATGAAATCAAGAAGAAAACCATTTATTTGAACTGACTTTTGTTTTAATTAATTATTTCTTAATATAGGTTTTTATTTTGAAAAAAAGCAATAAAAAAACTTAATTCACTTTTTATTCCGATAAATGTGTCACCCATTACGATTTCAAAAAATCGCCCCTGTAAATACAACGCCGCTCCCCCGCGCTTCATAACCTAAATTCGCCACAGCGTACGTTTCGTCTCTTACGAGACTCGTCAGTAGCCTGCCGAGTAAGGTTAAGAAGATACCA